AGTAGTAGTTTATCAATGTAAACATTCAAGTGGCTAAGGATACTTTTCCACCGCACCAGGCACTGTACTTTTTGTACTAAAAATTTGGTACTTTCCCTTTCCTGCTGACTTCTGGTTGAGTACCAGTACCAAAAGTACCAAACCAACTGGGGTACTTTTTATGTATATAACCTGCAAATAACCTGCCGCGCAATCACAAAATACACACACCATTCTGGAAAAGCGTAGTTACAAATTCAGAAAAAAATTATAAACAAAGTGAAACATAAGTAATAATAATGGATGTATGGACTCCCTTCTAGTTCTGAGCCAGAGAATCAGTTCTTCTGCTGACCTCCCAGCTCTGTCTGCAGCTCTCCTCATGACAGCTGAACAGGATTTCGCAATAAAGTGTCCCAGAAAAAGAACCCCCAATTTTAAAATAGATCATAAAAAAATGTGGCCCTAACTGCTAAATTACAAGACCCATAATTCCAGTTACATTGTATGTGAAACTACAGTTTTGTTGATGCCGGATGCTTCCATGGTAACGCCAGGAGGTGTGCAGCGCAGTGCAAGGTGACGTCAGAGGGCTACGCTTCTCAGTGTGAGAAAATGCAGCTACCCAGCTTGTAAAATCCTTGAGTAAATAGCCCTTTTTTTGGGATTTGCCCCTCTAGATATCACGATCATCTCCTTAGAACCTCTGTGTGAAAACCCATGTTATTCAACCACTCTTTGAAGTCTTTGGTGTGGCAGGAATAAGCTGCAGAGTGTAGGAGAGCGTACTGAGGAGAGCGTACTGAGGAGAGCGTACTGAGGGTCAGAGCGACTCCCCAGGCCTTGCTGTGGCTCTCCTTCACATACTACTGCCCTGACATGCATACATTCTGCTCCAGACTCCCAGACTGCATTTCTGCTGTGCTTTAGGGTTACGAGAAATCGGTGCTGTTAGATTCCGCCCTTAGTACATTCCGCAGACTGGATGCCCGAGGCAAATTTCGATGGGTGGGGGGTTTCAAGCTCGTAATAACACTACCTGGCTGCGTGCCGAATCGGTAACTAAAAAATTTCGGAGGAGGTTCAAACCTGTTTCTTTTACTACCAGGATATGTGCCTGGTGAGAGGCGATCAACTCAAAAAATTATGATTTTATTTTTCCAAATAGTGGAGCAGCCAATTTATGCACCCAAGTCATGGAAGTCTTTCTTTATTAAACATTACCAGACCAAATTACCTAAAAAAAGCTCTGAAAGAATAAAGCAGCTAACCAATCCAAATATTTCAGATAAATATCATATGTATCAGTAGACAGTAGCCTTGCAGTGACTGGTATGCAATTTGCAATTTGCTTTGTTATTAACACCTATAATTACATGTTTTGGAACGTGACTGTGGGTGTGTTGGTTTTCCTACATAAAGATAGAGGGATACCAGAAGATTAATTAAGGGCGTTTCAAATTCCTCTTAAACGCAGAGCGCCAAGCTGTACGTCAAAAGTAGAGTACGACCTTAGACTGAACTCGTAGTGTAAGGAAAGCGTCGGTATCCGTATAATTACCTTTCCCAAAATGTGGCTAATTAGCAGTAATGAAGTCATGTCTAGTCTATTTGAATATTATCTGGACATTAACGCCTCTGCTCATCCAGCCGCAGATATATGCATTTTTAAATAATTTAAGTTACTTTGCTATACTTACTATTTCCGCATATCAGATATGTTAACGTGTCTCGCTTAATGTTACTAAGGCTTTAGACTGGGAATTCCCGAAAACGATATTTAAAGCGCTTCCTCGGAGCAGATCGCCGTCAGGGAGCTCTCCAGTGCTGAAGACGCCGGAGCCAGACCCCCGGTGGTGGGATGAGCCAGCCAGAGGCACCACGGCGCGGGCGAGCAAGGGCACACAGGGTGAGCGGCTGCTTCTAATGGAAAGTTACAGTTTTGTCATCAATCGCGGCACAACACGGTATATACAACAGCTGTATCTTACTTTAAAATCACAGTTTTTCCCAACGCATTGCCGAATTAATGCCGAATTTTCCGTACATTATGTATATTGAACGTTTATGGAACAAAAAGAGAAAACTAGTCATTTTAAAAAAAATAACGAGTTAGTCGCCTTATTTATTTGCATTTTCCCCGACTTGCTTGGATTGAGGCATAATGAAATAATTACATATATTACTTATTTTTTAATTCTGATATACAGTCAGCACAAGGACGTCGTCGCTACGTCGCTGATACGTTTTTTGAAGGTCTTAGTATAATTTCAGTCGTTTGCACATTGGCACTACGTAGCGCCTCCGTAACAGCTCCGTCCAGGCGATGTAATCGCGACGTTCTCCGTCTCAACAGCGATGAAAATGCGACGTCTAGGCGAAATTCCGCGATGATTCCCCGACCCTTTTTATTATCCTACGCGATCATTTCCCGACCCTCTTATTATCCTACGATTGGCAATAATTATTTCAACGTTTTCTTTAGTGTTGAACACGTATCGATACTAATATATTTTATTTATAATATATAAAAATACAAAGGTGTTCGTTAAGAGTTTATTAAAAAACAAAAAAAAACAAAACATGAAATGCACACACAAAATATAAAATGCACATGTTACAAAAATTCAAAAATACAGAAAAAAAAAATACTGAAAGGAAAGAACTATCGGACACGCCTGGTCAGCCTGTCACGAGCCACTCTTTGATGGTCGTTTCAGCTTCAGCCTCACTTGGACTAGACACCAGTGGGTTTCGTAATGCAGACTCTAAAAAACAGAACAGGCGCAATTCACTTACATTAGACCTTATTAAATGGTAAATGTCAATCATGAACAGGTGAGTTTATTGTTATTCCTTTACGTTGTGATTGTTCACTTTTTATCTAAAGTCTGAAAAAAAATCAACTTTGGCCATTAAAACCAATGAAAATTATGGGAAAGAATTAGGTAACGTGCACGGGGAGGTTAAATCCATATGGTGTTTAAACCTTTGGGATAAAAACTTTATCCTGAAAGGTCAAATTTTACCTTTGCCTAAACATTAGTTTTACTTACGGATAATCACATCTATGAGGTTTGTATTCCTCATCGGTGTTTTGTCCCCTCTGCCACACCAGTTTAAATGAACTGCCAACTGGGGAGCAAACACCTTTCCACAGATCTTCCAGACTGTTTTCTTTAGTGTTTGACCCCAGCCAGTGACAGTTTGGAAACCTGGAGGTGACAACAGATGTTTGGTCATACAAAATTTATTACATACTTTTGGGTAGTGTGTGTATGTGTGTGTGTGTGTATATATATGATATAAGTATATATTATATTTCTTAGTATCCATGTATTAGCTATGTATAAGGTAGTTTTCTAAAACCATAATCATACCAGTTTAAAGTCAACATTTCCCAACTGCATTTCGATGTTCTTCAGCTCCTCAATGTCTTGCAGTGGAAGTCCACCATCCTCTGCACACTGAAAAAATAATAGATTCTTATAGAAAGGTCTTTGGGTAACAATCTCTGTCAGGTGTTGGACCTGGCTCTGCAACTCCCCCAACATTTGCAGAAGGATCCTCTCTGTTGCTGTAAGGTCAACAATAGAGAATACAGCATTAAATAATTAGACATTCATCGAGACAGATGTAGATTTGTTTTCAACTTACGTGTGCATTGACTTGGTACAAGTTGCTCTGTGGGTAACAAATTTCTCGAAGGAACATCTGTAAGAACAAGACAGTAAAAAAATACTCTAAAACCCTAAGTGATCACAATTACTATCTTGTATTATATTGAAAATTGAAAAGCACAATTGTGATAATTTTCAGTATACACATGTATTTTGAGAGTGATCTTACGCCATAGTAATACAACTCAAATTAATAGTAACATACAAACACATCACACAAAAGGTCGAGCATGGTAACGTTAGCATAGCCATATTAGTTAAAATTGTTAAAGTGCGATAAAAAGTTTGTAACAATAAATAATTAATCAAATCTGAAACTATTTAGAAAGAAATTATTTTCAACCTACCTTTCCAACCAAGCGTAGGCGATGGAATAGACTTTTTTTTTCTTGTCTTTTAAAGATGATTTAACAGGGAACAAAATATCTTATAAAACCACGTTTCTCAACCACTGATGAGCCACGAAGGCTACAGATTGGGCCGCGAATTTAAAATCAAGACTGGCTATTGGTCCGTATAGGGCTGCCAGCACCACGTTTACATCTAACCATGATGCATTGCGTCAGGACCAGAATGCATTGCTTTAAGACAGCCCTGTAAGCCCAAGGCACAGTGTGTGTATTGTGGATTAAACACTTTCAAACGAAGCTCTAAAACCATCAAAACTCAAGTGGCATATCGAAACAAAGCACCCAGAACTTATTGGAAAACCACTGGAGTACTTTCAGCGAAAACATGATGGACTACAACTGCAGAAGCAGACCATTGTCTCCCTAACAACACACTTATTTAAGAACAGTTGCATGTATAGCCATCTGACATTGCCAAGTCTTCACCCACAGTGAGACATCTCTCAATAGATCTCCACACAAGTGCGCACTCTTATTTAAAATACTGTCATATAAGCAGGATATCAAATAAACATTATCGATAATAACAAGAAACATTTAACAATGTCCAGTATATAAAATAGCTGTGTGAATCATACCATACCCTATAATATGACAAGTAATATTACTACATGAAATAATATTATTGTAGTAATATTATTACTTCCAGAGGCAAACAAGCCCTTTTCTAAACAAGACCCGACGTGATGCGTAGTTTTCCCTACCAAAAAGCGACCTTCGACTTAAAAGCGACGATACGACATTTAGACGAGCAACGCTTTTCAACACCGCGACGGTCCGACGTTATCGCGAATAAAACGTGATGCTTCGTAATGGAACGCGATCCAATTGCAACCATCCGCCGTTTATGCGACGTATTGCCTACGTACTTGTGCTGACTGTGAAGTAATCTAAAATTGATTAAATTAGTTCGAGGTTCGGGGGCCAACTGTTCGACCGGGGGGTTAAGTTTACTGAGCTGGGGGCGGGGGCGTCCTACGTAAATTAATTAAAGGAAAAAACAAGTCCTTTGTGTGATCTTGCAATACTTATCTTGAAATACATATTTATTAATTATTGAACTGTGGCCGTTCGAAGTTCAAAGGGTAAACTAAACTATTAAACCATTAAAAGTGACATAAACGTGTCCAGTAAACTGTGCTTTAAGCAACCGATTGAAGGACAAGGAACACCATTTCATTTTAATGTATTTTTATGCATTTAAAAAATAATAATTAAACTGTGTCCATGCAACACCAGCGACTGTAAACGAGCGACAGCTGCGATACTGAATGTGCACAGTCACATATTAGAAAATTCGATAGAAAAGAAACCTGGGAAACGAAAGGCAGTTGCCTGATTTTACGGAAAGACAGGTCCATTACAACTGGAAAACTTTAGAATATAAAGGCAAGTTTCCTGAATACCTCTTGGTATTCGTGCCAGTAAGAAGTAGCCTGTACAGATCACTTGTGTTTTTGTGTTAGCACGCAAACCATTTTCTGATGGTAAATGAACACATTGTAATTATTAATAAATATGTATAAATATACATAATTTTTATATTAAATTTTGTGCACTGCCCCAGTCTATTGCCTAATTAAAGCACAATTTACAGTGCTGTACATAGACTTTTCAAGAGAGAATACATTTTGTTGGGGGTCCGGCAACCTTGCCAACAGGTAGGCCTACATTTTACCAACAGGGGGGTCCTCTCGGTATATTTCACCGACCGGAGGGTTCAAACTCCTCATTTTACTTCGTGGCTACGTGCCCGGTCCATTTGTATTACTCTTTGTACATTGACCGGACAGAGTGCAATTTAAAAAATTATGTATTGCGAGATAACTTCTACTTCTAGTAGGCCTATTTTATGTCCCCTTACGGGCTCGAAACCGAAAGACAATCTGGACCGGGTTTGCAAAGTCAAACGTACATAGTGTGCGATGTTGAGGGACATAAAAAATAAAGTCTTTGGAGCTGATTTTGAAAGCAGACATCGTAACGCAGTGCCATCGCCTCCAATACACAGAGGGAGATCCTCCTACCCCGGATACACTGGGCATAGCCCCATACCCCGTCGGCGCAAGGTCCGACAGATGCGCGCATGCGCACACCCACGCGCTCCCTTTCGCCCAGCCGACGGGACGCTAGTAAAACCGTTTGTTCTGCGTCCAGCATAAAGATAGACGGTTGAATGAAGCAGATGTCAGAAACTGTTCGCGGATGGTTTTATAACACCGCCCTTTGTGTGCCAGTAAAAGGGCACGAAGCGTATGCTAACACCCGTGTGAAAGTGTCGTTTGCTCCGCCGCCTTTATGCATTCGTAATAGGCTACTCGCGATTACAATCCCGTTATCGAGGGCATCTCCGAATTAGGCCATACGCTTTGTTATCTGCCTGTTTTGTCTGTCCACGTTATTTTATAAACTTATGAATAGGATGCTTGTCCTTGTATGCAGTTTAAAACATTCTGAAATGAGGATTATTTTCCTCACCTGGAAAATTAACACATTATGGCAACCGGGCAATCTCACCTTCATTTTTCCTTAAGGCATGTAGCCCAGTGGCTGTCTGTGAAGCAGGTTACTTTTTATCTATTTATTTTTTTTTTCTTCCTCATTATTAAACCGTGACTTACTGTGTTAACGGTAAACAGCCCATTGTTGCTACATCTTAACTTAATAGCTAATAGGTTGATACTATTCACAGAAGGGGGGCGGGGGCGGGGGGTCAGACTGGTGAAAGGGTGGCCAGGCCCTGGATGAGGACGGGGGTTGTGGCATAAACACTGGAGAATTTTTTCCATTTCGCTATATAATTCCAAATACGGGTGTGGAGGTTAAGCGTGTAATTGGTGTTTATGGGAGGGGGTGTGGCCATGCAGGCTGAGGATATGCATGGGTAATTATCACCAACCTGGTCTATAAAAAGCCACCGGTGCTGTGCCAGGTACCCAGCCAGTTCCTCTCAGGCTGTCAAAGCCTTTGCCTGTCTTCCAGACTGCCCCCTACAGCACTAACCGACGCTCTCCCTGCTGCCTGCTCTTGGCTTCTGCACTTCCTCCGCTGAACGGTAAGCCTCCTTTCTCACATCTGCCGTCTCCATCTCCCCTTGATGCAATTTCCCCCCATAATGGGGAGAGGGACACCAGAGATGTTCTCTGCAGGCTTCAGGTCAGCAGATTCCAGGTGCCAACTCCGCTGAACCTGCTTGGTGGCCAATGGCTCTTGATGTCGGGCATCTCCTGGGTGATTTTGGAATAATGGATAACAAATTCGGACTGCTTCAGCTGCTTTGGCTTCTTGGGAGCGACGGTGCCTGTTTGGGTGTTTTAGACCAGTGTTTCTCAACCCATTCTTTAGGGACACCCAGACGGTCCATGTTTTTGCTCCCTCTCAGCTCCTGGTAGCAAAAACCTGGACTGCCTGGGGTTCCCTAAAAGATGCTTTAGAAAAACAAAAAACACTAAAAAGCAGAAGATAAAAGAGAAGATAAAGATTAACATTATTTTTCCGATCATTAAAGTTTCGTCAGTGTGTTTTTTATGTATATATTAATTTAATATGGTAGGATTTTATTTTAGAAATACGTAAGTTTGCAAGTTAAATATGCAGAGTACAAATACAAGGTTTTGCACAAAAAAACTACAGTTTAACAAGCTACATGTATGAAACCAAGTGTGGCCTTTGTAATACAAAAGAATCCCATTGGTATTGAGATGTGGCTTTTTACATAAGAATGTTTTGTGATTCACTGCTGAAGCATCTTGTTTTTTTGTCTACAGAAATCAGTTGTTTCCCATTACGTTTTGCCCTTAGGGACACAAAGTCAGCATCTGCATTTAAAACATCTCAGCCACCAAGCTGAGGATGTCTTTGTCTTTCCAAGTGGCGTCTGCTGTGATGTCATTTGTATTACGTATGGCGATCAGTGTTTGGAGGTCAGAGTGGGGAGGACAATGTATGTTGATCAGTGCATGGAGATCAGCATGGGGAGGTGAAATTGAGGATCTGTATGCTGTGGTCTGCGTGCAGAGATCTGCTCGTGGTGTTTTAAAGCATCTTTTACTCACTTGCAACTAGAGATGCACCGATACCGATATTTGGATCGGTATCGGCGCCGATCCAGACCTATTTGACGGATCGGGTATCGGCCATGCGTGACCGATCCACGTCCTATACTTACTTATTTAGTTTTTGGCAGTCAATCGCACGACAGCTCTTTCCCATTTTACATGTGTGTTTTTGCGGAATTCAAATCGAACGCTATCACTGCCCCTAAGTCTTTTTTGCTACTCAGTGGGTGTGAGTACAGTGACTTCCGCCTGCTGTGACGTCATGCACATACCCTTAGCAGTACGAGGAGCGTAAGATAAGACTTGATGATCTGGGAGTATTTTACACTTTTAACAGAAACCAGTAGCACGGCGATTTGCAATCTATGTAAAATTAAGTTTTGAGGTGGGAATAGCGTTTAATGGACAATCCCATTTAACAAAGCGCATGCAACTGCGCAGGGGCGTTGTTAGAGATTTTGGGCCCCATGAAAGCATATCATATTAGGCCCTCCAGTCCAAACCAATCCAGTTATTTTCCTAATTTTTTAGGGCCCCTGTCACTCAGGGGCCCTTGGAATCGTCCTAGCTTTCCTCCCCCTTACGGCGCCCCTGCAACTGCGAGACAAAACAAAGCAATGGATGATTTGGGAGTCGCTAACTTAATTGGACTGTTTTGCGAACTCGCTGCGGCTTATGATACAAGAGGGGCTGCCATCGCAACAAAGTGTAACTGCGCTGACGCCAATGGGAGAAAAACTGTGTTCAAACTTTAAGCATTCGCCACTTGTGTATACTTGCTTTGAAGATATTCATACTGAACTGCAAATGCCTCAAAAACGCTTAAAACAAACGAGGGGGAACAGTACGTTATGTATGTTTGTAGTAGCCTAATTAAATATTTTTTGTCATACATTTTTTCCATCTGTACTTACTAGCTTAAAAAAAAAATATATATAAAGTATAACAAAGTAAAAAGAGCTCTTGTATCGGAATCTGTATCGGTATCAGCAGTTGTGTATTGGAATCGGATCGGAACTGAAAAAATGTGGGTCGCCCATCTCTACTTGCAACACTGGGGCTGGTCTCTTCACTGATCCCAGACTGCAGGGTTGCCGACCAATGACACCCCCCAACCCCCCACATGCTGTCTAATGGTGCGTTCGATTATTTCTCTCCAAGTCGGAACTCGGATGAAAA